AAGTTGCTTGGCTTGCGTGTTCTACAAAGGTTGCTCCTGCCAACAAGCCAAGGACCTATTGAGCAGACATTGACAGACTTGTTGCATCAGTATGTTTGGTTCTTGTCCTTTTGCCAGCGGGCTGTCCCCACGAACCCACAACCAGGCAGCCGGCCGTGCGCGGTCTCTTGGGGCCAGAATGTGGTTGGATCATGGTGTATCCCTGCACCACTGGAGCAGTTCTCCTGAAGTGGCAGTGCAGTGAGTGGTTGTGCCATGGAACTCCCTGGAAACAAGTCAAGGAGTGACTGCATGGACGTCCTTTGTGGTCCTTTCCTCCTGTATCGTTCCAGCAGTCACTCCAGCTCAAGATGTTGGGGAGTCCAAATATCCAATGGGAATTGTGCAAAACAAACAATCATCCCCCCACTTTCCCCACTTCCCTTCTCCAAAACAGCTCAGATTCAGGTTGGCTGTCGACAGCTGGGTGGATGCCATCTTTTACTCCAAGCACTGGGATCTTTTAACCACCGGTGTCGGAGAAATGGCTGGCAGACCCTCGGCAGCCGGGACCCGCGGACTCGGGAACGGTCGGATCCATGCAGGGCCACTGCAGTTGGCTGCGGGGGACACTCGATGTAGTTGCCTGCATCCTTCATAGGGTGGCAGCTGATTTCGGGGCCTCTCTACTGGGAAAAACAGGCTTGGAAGTGGCTTGAGACGGGGGTTCTACAGTGATTTTGTTGGGGGGGTCTTGCCGATGTAGATGAGTGTGTATTACAATAGGGAGACCCCCTTGACCCGATGGGCTTGTAGACTGGTCGATGCTCCATCGAACCCACGGGGGTGGAACTTGGAGGTCTTCGGTTGGAGCGTGTTTCTTCGAGCCAGCCTGCAGCCTTTCGCCAGAGTATGTATCGAACGTCGTGCAGTCAAGCTTGGTTTTCACTGCACCTGCGCTATGTTGCGGCCGGTTTCTGGTCAAGTGGTGTGTTATACGGGGCCCACCCCAGCCCTCCGAACCCTTTCTTTCTTGAATTGGTCTCCGGCAGCAGGGACTGCTAGGGAGTCTGGGAGTCTGGCTGCCATCCGCCGGACGCCAAACGCCAAGGCGACCATCGGCCCGTTTGGGCAGAGCTCTCTTTGAAATGAGGCGGTACGTGGTGCTTGCGGTGGTGCGGGTTTTCCCGTCCCGGCGGTGAGTAAGGCATGACCATGACCTGACACATGTTGTTGGTTAGTGGCTTTGAAGCTGAGTTTCTCAGTTTCTCAAGATGATTTGGTTGAGTTTGTTTGATGGCCTGGTTGACGGCCTTTGTTGGATGCGGCATCCAACAAAGAGAATCAGAGGTCGCTGTCCCAACACCACTTGGTGTGCTGTGCCCGCCCTGGAAGAAATTGAATCTTTTGACTGGCACAGTGCTGTGCCGAACCGTAGCTGCGGTCAAGAAACATCGTGACCGTAGCCGCGGGCAAACCGGGTGCTTTCGCTCTGTGGATCAAGCTGCGCGGCAGGCTTCGCCGGCTTGCACGGTATACCCATTGTCACCGCCACTCAGGAGCTCCGAGAAGAAGACGGGTGCTGCAGCCGCAAGTTGAGCCTTCACAAAATAGAAGCTTCCGGAATAGTCACTATGACTATAACCCTGGAAGACTAACATGGACCCTGAGAACCACTGGTAGAGGAAAACACTCTTCCAGGGGGCCATTGTCAGGGTCTATGTTAGTTTTCGGGAGTGTAGATAGTCAGTGACTCTCCTTTTCATCTCAGGCTTTGAGAGGTTGAAGAAGTCAATCAGAGCCTACATTTGCCAGGGCGAAATCACCGGGGGTCGCCCACGAATTCACCCCTTCATGCGAAGTGGGACGTGTGGCTTGTCGCCTGATTCCCGCTCGGTGACGTGAGCTCACGTCATCGAGGGAACCCTGTGTGTGCGCGTGAGCCTGGATGAGCCCGGAAACCTGAAATGGGGAGAGATCCTATGCCCAGCACCCGAGACCGTTCACCTGCCACTCACCAGGAGGGGCCTGGTCCGCCGCGTGTCGGAGAAAATCGGAGCCTGCCAGCGACAGTAAGCCACCACGCAAGAACGGACAAACATGTTCGAAGAGGCAGATTGCCCGCCCACGCCAGCTTCTTGATCGTTCGAATGGTGGCAAAAGGATGAGAACGGGGCGACGGTCCGTGGTTTCGAGCGACCGGTGGGTTTCGACAACTTCAATCATGTTCCTTCACTCGAACCCTCCGGTCTTTTCACTTGACTCATGCCCACACGAAGAATCGCGAACATCAGACACGTTCATGGAACAGACCAGGACCCACGGTGGGAGTGGTTCATGGACACACCCCTTAACCCCCCCTTAACCCCCAAGACTCCAAGGGGCTACAGTAGTCATAGGCATCCGGAATCATGGCCCAATGGCCCTGGCATACGTCAGTTTTTATCACAGCACCCACCGCCCAGATGAGATGTTCTCATCGATAGACGCCCCCTCCAACAAACAACTAAAACCATGCACATGGTACTTCTGGGATTCCGTGGGCTCTCTGCACCCGAGTTTTGAAGCCCAGAAACTCTCCACAGCCTGTGGGCGGAAGCGTTGGAGGCTCGAACAGCCACGTGTCGTTAAAAAAGTGTCCGAACAGATCCAACGGGGTGAACTTTTTCCCTGGAACTCATGTGATTCCGTGGACAACCCCATGTTTGTATAGGAGAACATTGGTTTTGAAAAAGGGACCGTTTTCATACTACACTTCCATGTGATTTCGTTCCAGGAAGTCTATCTTCCTGAGAGCTGAAGCTGAAGTATCTCGAAATGGGGTTGCACATGTTGCCACAAGATTCACGATTCTTGGAATCAACAATCGCAAAAATCATGTTCGCAGCTCCAGTTTGCGTCCGAGAGGCAGAAAAAGGGTGTCAATGGGATTCCATGGGTGTCAATATATGGCATCTTTTGAAGTGTTTTTGGCAGTGCCTGGTGGGACACTGTTGATTTGAACGACTGACCAACCTGCTGCGTGGCATCCCTACAACTCCGCCCACGGATGCCTTGTAAAGACCGACTCCCGTGCAGTCGCCTCTCCCTGCACCGCGGGATTCAAGCCGTGGGAGACTCCTGGCAAGGCATTGGAGGATCCAAGTGATGCCAACTACCTGAATGAATGGTCTCTTTGCCAAGCAACCATTGGTTGAATAAGGATTGTTTGATATTCTTTCACTTACAAAACCCGGTGAACCTTTCTCCTAGTGGTCTTGGTTCCGGCCAGGGCATATAAATGCGATATACCGCCATGCCTTTTTCTTTCGAACTCCGATAGAGGAGTCCCGGAAGGGTGGGAAGTGTTGGTCCCAAATGAACATCAACCAAACCCCCACTGAAAGGGTAAAAGCTACCAGAAGTTCCAGAAACTGTTGGGTCATAATGACAGCTTGGAGTTTGTCTTTACTATATGCATGGGGAACTCAACCCGATAAGATCCTCCAAATCGCCATAGCGGACCACTTCGCTGGGTCGCCCAGCCCCAGATGGGCTTACAGATGCGCAAGCGTCGCCTGCCATCCTCGGAAAGCAGAGTCCCTGGAGGAGCCGTCGCGGCGGCGGAGAAGCCCGGAGGTCGACGTCACCAAGGCTAGGACAGGAACATGGAAAGCAACAATGGGCCGCTTGGGGAAAGCAGGGTAGTTCCCCCTGGTGCGGCCAAACAGCCGGATTTATCAGCAAATATCCTATACCAGGGGTGTCCAATTATAGCTCCTTAGAGGTTCAGGGACCAGGGACTTCCATTAACCACCCCAAACAGGGGGCCCTGGTAGGGGTGAAGGGTGAAGGACATCCAACTCACTCCACTTCAACTCAACTTCACGTTCAACTCCACATGTTTAACGTCCAACTCAACTTCGTTTCTTCAAGACTCCAAGACTTCACGTCGTATGGACGAGCTTCGACGGTCGCGGGCGAGTTCCTCCGGCATGCCATGTACACATCTGCCAGCATCGATGACAGGGACGTTTGCCGTCACAGTGTGGCTGAGATCAGAATCAGAAAGAGCTTCAGCTGCTGGTTTGCCTCTGGCAAACGCTTCGCGCGTTTTTGGCGGACCCATGGGGTTTTCGAGTGGTATAGGGCTGCAGGTTTTTAGCGGGATATATTTTATATTTTTAGTGGGATGTTTTTTTGGGGGGGGGTTGAGTCTTCTGATTCTGTTGCTTTAGACAGTTTCTCATTAGGTCTACTGGGTTTTTACGTGCTACTATTGGGTGTTTGAGCTAAGTGATCCCTCTACGTGCTGGTGGCCCATAGCATCCACCTTTGTGGGGTCTTCCACGGTTCATAGCTGGTTTGAAGTCGACTGTTCGCGGGAGGCCCAGGGTCAGATCGGAGCGTTTTGCTTCGATGTGCAGCAAAGCCTTTGAAGTGCAATTTCCTTCCTTCCTTCCTTCCTTGCTTCTCCGTCTCCTTCCTTCCTTCCTGCCTGCCTTCCTTCCTTCCTTCTTTCCTTCCTTCCTTCCAGAGCCCATTAAAAGAAAAAAGAGCATCCCACCCCCCCAAAAAAATATATCCCACGGAAATATGCCCTCCTATAGTTACAGGGGGTTGAATGAGTTGATGACATGCTTTCAATCTGCCAGTTTATAGTGGTTTAATGTGGTTTAGTTTAGTACTGGACCCGCACCTGTCTGAGTCTGACAACCTCAAACCTTTATTTCAGCACTGCCACCTAGGCTTCCAAGCTTGCCTCAGCCTTCCCCCGAGCACATCGATCCCTGAAACGCCCCGTTGGCGCCTCGCGGGTGTTGGCTCTCGCGGGCGCAAGAAGGCGCCTCCCCCCAAGAAGGCCTAAGGAGTAGTGGCTCGGTATGTTTGCAGTCCCGCCACCATGACTCGCCATTGTTTCTTTTTTGTGTGTGTGTTGCTGCTGGTCACTGGGAGCTCGGCCACAGGTGTGTTGATTCAGCCAGGAGCTTCGGGGACATGCATGCTTTTGTCTCTTCAGCCGATTTTGGCTAAAGAACGCCATGCCAACCGCCACAGTCCTCATGGCGCGCCGGCTGCTGCCACTGCTTCCACTTTTGACGCTGGCGAAGGTGTCTCAGACCTAAGAACCCACCTATCCAATCCAAGATGGTTTGGTGGAATTTTTGATCATGCGCTCTATCCCTTTTTGGCAGGTATGCTCCATGAAAGCAAGAACACGCCTAGTGGCCTAGTGTTCAGGATAATGCATTTAACGATGTTTGTCATTGCTTGTTATTTGTTATTAGCATCACCATCGTGAAGCAGATCCACCACATTAGTTGGTCGTCAGAAGGTAGGGGTGCCCATTCTGTCACTTATTTCACTGTTTGCAGTTGTTTCTGTTGGCTTTTAGCAAGTCCCTGCTCGATCCGCAGACCTATCCGCGACCTCAGGATTGTGAGGGCACGGAGCAGTGCTCCCGCAACGCGGGGAACAACCTGCTGCAGTTCGTGTCTCGTACCTTTGGCCTCTGTCTAGATGGCGATAACACTGGACCTCCGAGGCGTGCGATAGAGATCTACGGCGATCCTGCCTGTTGGTGCCCAAAATGAAGGTGTTGAGAACAAAACGACTTGGAGCACACGCCGATCTGATCATAGGAGAGAGAAAGAAGGCACCTTGCCCAACTGCCAGCCAGGTCAAGTTCCGAACATATCCAAAGAAACCACGTAGTCACCACGCCACCCGAAAAAGAACGAATCCAAGCGAATCCACCCAGCCCGGACTCGGAGTCCATCGCCCGGACTCACCGGACTCGTCGAGACCGAAAGAAACGCGTCGAGACCGCGTGGGCGTTGGTCCGAAAGAAATGTGGGTGCTTGAAACCGCAGAGCCCCCCCGCAAGCTGATGGGACTTCCATTTGGTGGGACTTTCACAGGTTTTTTCGCCATAAGTTTTGACCTACAAGAAGCTACGTTCGGGGCTCCTGGCCTTACTACTAGGAGCATGGACGCTACTAGGGGCCCCTGGCATCGCTACTAGGAACAAGAAGCTACTGCACCAGGACCTTCAAAGTGACCTAGAATGAGATCCCAGTGGCCTTTTGTCACAACTCGTCCCTGAAGAGGCCACTTACGGACTCCAAAGACGTCACTTTGAAGGTCCTGGTAATATAATACTGTAATATAAATTGTATTTGCATTTGATTTGTTTAAAGAATAATTGCTTCGAAAGCAGTGCCGAGAACTCCCCGCGAGGTGTCAAGCAGCAAGAGAACTCCTCGCAGCTGTCCTGCAGCCCGTTCACGACTTGGCCGGAAGTGGACCAGAAAGATGGAGAGCTCATCGTGTGCTTCATGGCTGCAGATTCAGCCCGACCAGAGAGCCTCATCCACGTCATAAGGTCGTCATCATCAGTTTGGGGGAGTGGAGGCCGGTTCTGGTTCGGTTCAATAGTAGGTTCAATACGTTCAACGGATTTCTTTAGAAACCAATAGAAGTGGAGTTCAGCCATGTTCAACCCCTGTTTGTCGAGGAAAATTGTTCTTCCAAGAAACATGTTCCCTGTCCATGATTGCTTCCGGGATTGTAAAGCAACAAAAAGCGACCATTTACAGTCTTGCAGTCTTGGATCAGCTGAAGCGCCTGGAGTGCCGAGGCCCACCCTGCCGAGCCCTCGTGAAGACTGCCACGTTCAATCGTTGCGACCAGTATTGTGCCGGGGCCATGTAGGGACGATGAGGGCGAACAAAACGTGAAAACAGCAAGTGACGCAGCAAGTGACGCGCAAATTCTCAAGGCATTCTCAAAGCCCACAACACCTTTTGAACCTGTTAAAACCCATCGTTTGATCCACAGACGCAGACTTCTACAGAAATGCAGTTTGTAGACATTGCATTTGCACCGTTTACGCTGGTTGGACGTCCACTCATTTTCAATGACCTCACTATGGTGAAGCACACTCGCTCTCTCTCTCTCTCTCTTTCTCTCTTTCTTTGGCTGGCACTCATCTATACGCTGTAGATCTTCCCCCATGGCCCCCCGCGGTCCACACGCCGCTCGCACCGAGGTGCCAGCTTCGGGCACCGCTGCGTGGCGGCGGCCGAGGAGGAGAACGAGAACTGCGCCGTCAAGGCCGGCGGACGGTCGGTCGACAACCGGACGGCGGCGCAGTTCGGTCGACGTTCGGTTTTCCCGCGGGCGGTTCGAAGGTGATCATTGACCGGTGCGGAAAACGATGCGACGGTGCGGGTCGACTCCGCGGAACGACGTCCGATTCTGTTTGGGTTCAGCCAGGCAGAGTCGAGACCAGGACCGAAACCACCAAGTCCGGTGGTTTTTGGACACCCCTTGACCTCTAAGACTCTAAGAGGCTACTTACAGACACCTCTTGAAAGGTCCTGGTATAGATCAGTTGATTCATGATCATGTGTCAAACATCGATCCATCCGGTGATCCAGCAGTGGAGTCTTGACTGATGTAGACTGACTGGATTTGGGCTTCAGTCTGTACCTTCTTCTTTTGGGTGGGAGGGTGAAGGGGGTCGGGCTTCTGAAGTGTCATTCTATCGGGGACTGACTGGATTCTCTTCACATTCTCCACCGTCCGGACCAGTCACCCGCGGAAGCGGACGGTCTGGACTGGTCGTCCGTGGAGTTTGGGGTCGGGTCCCGCCTGGCCTGACAGCAGGTCCGCGGCTGTGGAGTTGGTCCCGAGAATCTGCACATGTTCCGCATTTCCATATGGATTCCATGCAGGGCTGCATGAGCGAAAGGGTGTGATTTTGGGGTCGCGGGCTTGTAAAGAACGGGAATCCTGCAATCCTGGCGGACACAGGGCGTTTTGGAGAAGGGGTCACCATCCAATGTCCTAGCCAAATTCGTGGTGCAGACTCTAACCCAATGTGTGCAGACTCCAGACCCGCAACTTAATTGAAGCAGCCAGCGGCTAGACAACGAAAAGATGAACAAAACACATCTACCGTGGTATACTGGTGATACTGATCCAAGCTGCTGACCACACTTGGTGGTCTGTGACCACCGCCAGGACACCTACGGCTGCGACGAGGCCTCACCCGCGCGATTAGCTCGCGCGAGTCGGTTCGAGAGCTTTTTTGGTCGACCAACATGCGAGTCGGTCAGATCGCCATGTGCGTTTCAGAAGTGTCACGCTATCGACTCACTGTCCCATCCCCATGACTCACCTAGCCAAGACGTCCCCGGCGGAGGAGATCACCGGCACTTCGGACATGTTGTGCACCTGTGAGAAGGTGCGGGGTGGGCCGAAAAAGCGAACAGCCAACAGCGCGAGCGCTCGCGACCCTCCTTGAAGCCCACATCCAATGTCTCCAATCACGAGAAGAGCTCTCAGTGGGCTCTGAGCATGTTCGGATCCCAAGATGGGTTTCGTTTTTGGGTCATTTCGGACCGAGTGCATCTCTGGGCTTCCACCCACCAAACCAGGGGGTCAATAAGAGGGCTGTTTGCACATCCCAGAGGCGCCAGAGGCCGATTCGAGACCTGAGCACGAACCCGGGAAACGGCACCGCGCCTCGCGCGCCTAGGCCGTTCCTGTGGACTGCTTTCAGTCTTTAGAGGGTGTCCCCGTGGATGAGGGTGGCTCCGTGGGGATGGTGAAGACGGGTTCGCAAAGCACCTGCGAAGAGGCCTGCAGCGAGAAGGACCGATCATGAGACATGCACGTGTATACGGCACGTCAGGTAGTGCCAAAGGACAGTGCAACATGGAACGTTTGACACATTCTATAGCGAATTGTTCTGTCTTATCTTTCATATCCGAATCAGAATCATATTCTTTCCGCGGTATACGGCGGTCTCGTTCTTCCTCACATGTTTATTAATGGATTTCAATGGGGTTTCTTCAATTTTGTTGTTAGGGCTTGGCTTAGGCATGTTAGAAGCCGTCCAGGCTCTCACCTAGGTGTGCAGTTTCTGCAGTTGACTCAGACCGATGTTCAACTGTTCAGTCTAAAACTGCCGGTAATTCAGAGAAATTGCTCCTGATGCATCATGTGCAGGAGAACTGCCAAAGCGCAACTTTCTGTTCCTCAGCCTGCAGTTGCCATAGACGTGACATGCCAACTCCTTCACCATAGGATCTTGATGCAACAGAGTCTCCAATAACACTGGGCCCTTGCCGATCAGCTCCAGGAGGGTTCACAGAGATGCTGAACTCCCCAGAACCGGCTGAGATACTCTCCCTGCAAATCATGGAAGTGGACAAGCCCCAGTTTGTAGAGGAAAAGGGTCATCCTTTCGGGGGGCCAACCACGTAACCATGATTGAGCCACGTAACGTGCGAGGAAGCGAGTGCGAGTGCGAGGAGTTCCGCAACCCCCTTGCTAGCAGTTGCAGCCATAACCTAACATCGAAGCTAACATCGAAGAGAGAGAGAGAGAGAGAGACAGAGACATTGCCGTTTCAATCGTTTTTCACCAAGAAGGCCAGGTAGATCCACGGGTCGGAGGGCAGTTTCCCCGATTGTGCGCTTTGGAGGGCTGACCACCCCCCCTCTGTCTTGAGGCGGCCAAGGCCTCCACAGTCCGGAGGGTGAAAGATGCTGTTCGAAATGTAGCCTCCAATATTAATTACAATCCACATGGAGTATCACAAAGTAGTGGAGCAGAAACTGTATCAGCAAATGGGTCAATAATGCTGATCAGCAGTGGAGTCGATAGATCTACTCCAAGTCACCCTGGAGCGGCCAAGGTCGACCCCAAATGTAGCTGCCAGCCGATCGCAGGTTTCCGGAGCTCGATTGGACACTGAGGCCAGTCCTGGGGCAAATGCTTCCTAAAGGATCGCGCTTTGACCGGCTCTGAGCCGCTCGGCGCGTACGGACCTCGTGCTCGACCTCGTAGGGGGACCGGCATGGAGAAACCAGTGTGTTCCTTCCCATTCGATCTAAGATAGCTTTACAAAGCAACTCCGAACAACTGTCCCGACATTTCAAACAATGTATAATTTCCTGTTTTCCGCGCATGAATTTTGGCTTATTAATGAGCCGATAACATTGTCATCACGAAACAACTAGAGGCGTCGAGCTTCTGCAAGCAAAGCCACCGCGCACAAGAGCAAAGGCCAAATTCCCACCAGGATTGCACGGATTGAGCTCTACCCTTCAAGAATCTTCAAGACCTTAATTGAGAAAACAAAACACACCAAGTCAATCCAGGTCTGAAAGACCGGCCGGTTGTGGTTTGGAGTCCCACACTGGGACTGACGCTGTTGTTTGTTTGATTTATTTTGCTTGTATGCCTCTGTCGTTTAATTACGTACGTTCGTGTGTTTTTGGATGTTGGAAGGTGCAAGCGGCACGGGAAGTGATGGAGAGACGTCCACTCAAAAGGTCCTGATAAATGCTGTAGTGTTTTTCAGTTTTGTGGCGGCTTTGTTGGGTACTGTAGATCGAAGATTGAGAACCCCTTCGGGAGCATATTGGAGTCATAGCGTGCACCTTGATGTCCTTGAGCATGTGGGTATAGGTTCGATTTTTGGTTTGTGTGTCCAAGGCCAATAATCAGCAAGAAAGACTGCAAGACCATTTTCAAGGGCAGCTGCGGTGGCGGCGGAGGTGGCGGCAGCGGTGGCGGTGGTGGCACTGGCGGCGAGCTGAAGGTGAAGGTGGTGTCGTACAACCTCTATTGGTGGAATGCGTTTGGACAGAGACCTGGAAGGCCAATGGACATCGCCATGGACTGGGGCCATTGCCTGGGTTGGAGTGTTTTCAAACAAGAGAAGGTCCGGGAGAAGCTCTCAAACATTCTCAAACTTGATAGGACATCACCGAGACACTAACCATGGAAGTCCTGGCTCAAGTCGACATTGCCGCAGGAATCTCACTCTATTGATAGGCCCTATAAGGAGGTGATTCGGGCTGTCCATTCACCCCTTGATCATTTCCTGGATTGGTTTTGTTGTTTTTTTTATTCATTGTTGAGTTGTTTAATTATTTTTCTTGAATTGGTAAAACAACAATCCATTCATTCTTGGACCATTTACTCTTTGAGTTCCAAGATTTGGTCCGAGGAATTCTTGGAAGAGTGGCTCGGCCAACCATCGGCGAGCACGGGAGCGACCGGTGAGACCGGTTTCGTCCGCGAAGGTTCGTCCGGGATGTTGGATGATTTCGGAGGTGGAACTCTCTTGGGCAAGCTTGGTGCATTGGTGGCAACTGTCAAGCAGTAAACCTTTAAACAAGGGACACATCAGCAGAGAAAGCCACTGATTGATAAGAAATCCCAATCCCCAAAACAACTCGAATACAGCGGGAATTAGACTTGTGACATCAGTGATCACGACATCTCGGCGCGTTGCTCAGGGGTTCCCAACCATGTCTCGAGAATCGGACATCCACTCTATCCAAACAGTCCGTGTTCCATGTTGCGATATGTTGCGTGTTTGGAGCTCGGCACTGGTATCAAGTCTGTCAAGTGAATTCCCGAAGTGGACCACCACAACCGAGGCAAAGACATCATCAAGAACATCAAGAACACCCTGAGGCGGAGTCGTGTTTTTCTTGGGCGAACACGGTGGAACACCGTCGTGTTTTGGCTCGCAGGGCGAACCAATCGGAGATGAAGAGGACACTTCGTCAGGGTGATTTCTCGGCTGACCATGTTAGCGGATTGGCCAGAAACCCACCATGACCCAGAGACATGAAGTGGAGTCGTTTGGCAGACCAAGTGGATAAACGACCCACTACAACTGTAGTCAGGCCCATATAGTTCTTTTGCTGTGATTTCAAGTTGTGGTTCAAAAGATCGATTTGATGGATGTTCTTTGTTTTTTTTGGTGGCCAACTCCCTGACACCCGGTTTCCCATACTTCAACTTGTATAGTGGATTGAGAGTAGATGGCACAGACCCCAAGAGGTTGTTTATGGATTCGTAATATTCGTATTTATATCTAAAGAACATCATGGGGTTTGTACCATCTACTGTGATCAACATAGGGATCGATGAGTGGATCGATGGCTTTGACACTCATCATATCATGTCACAAACCCGTCAATGTGCAACATCAACAGGAATGATCACATGCGCCAGCACAAAGGGACAAGAACTAAACAGGTATAAACATGAAGGGTTGGCATGTCACAACTTCTCACCTTTCATCATTTCTCTGATTTTTCTTGCAAGTCTTCCCCAACGACTTCTCTCTTCCCTTTCCCTTTGGACTATTAAAGCTCCCCAAACCACGGCCCGTCTCTCTGCGTCGCGCGCCACGGTCGGCACCGCGTCAGGCCGGACACCATCGGGCTCCAAGAGTGCGACGAGCCCAGCCAGATTGCGTCCGGCACCGTGGCACCGGGCGGTGAGGTCGACCGTTCGGAGAGACCGGCACCGGAACGTAGTACGGGGGTGTTTTTCCACGTGGTGTGAAACGCTGCCGTCAGAAGGAGCTGGAAAAGCAAACGTGCTGCTGGGGGGGGTTGCTGGGGCGGTGTTTACCTTGTGGGAGACAAATAGATCAAATAGGGGCCTGAACGGGGATGTTGACGTGCATGCAGGTGCTTTCTGGGGGTTGGTGATTTGTCCGTGATGATTCGATAAAATCAAATTTGGTTGAATTACTCTTGAATACATCTCGCATTCATAATGTTCATCACCAACTGCGCCACTCTCATTTCTGTGCTGCGTTGACGTGTTTCAGGCACTGGGATGCTCTCAGCCTCTCAGTCCGCATTGCTGGGAGGTGGTCGCAACATGTTGGGAGCTTACACTTGTTACTAGCAGCTTCTTGCTAGTAGCACTAAGGCACCCTGTTATCACTGGTAGCCATGCACTTGGCTGTAGCCTCTAGCTACTAGTACCAGTAGTAGTAAGTAAGTAAGTAAGTATGTAGGTAAGTAGGTAAGTAGGTAAGTAGGTAAGTAAGTAAGTAAGTAAGTAAGTAAGTAAGTAAGTAATTCAGTAAGTAGTAGTAGTAGTAGTAGCAGGAGTAGTAGTAGTAGTAGTAGTAAGGCAGCGTGTTACTACTAGTGAGGCACCTTGCTACTAGTACTTGCCCAACATGTTTCACAGCTTCTTTTCGGAGCTCCCACCAGACGATGTGTGCTATGTGCTATCTCCTCCAGTCCTACCTGGTTCAAACCTGCCAAACCGTTTTTCACAGAGTTCCACACCCCACCTGGTCAACCCCTCCAAACCCAGGAAGCCTCAGAGTTCAAGGGCGCGCAGGGCATTATGAAGCGCAATGGTCGCTTCAGGGCTTCCAGCAGTGGCAGCCGGGACTTGGAAGCCGCGGGCAAGTGGGGCACGAGGTATGTGACCTGGGCCACTTGGGCGGTGAACTTGGCGCTCGGCGTGGCAATGCGCTTGCTCGCACCATGCGCTAAAAGGAAAAAACTGCGTTTGGTGAAACGTTCGATATTGATGAGGAAAGATAGGAAAGGACATAGAACCCGGCGTGTTTGTTTGTTTTGTTTTTGGCGCTGTTTGCATGTGTTTGCCATCTATCTAATTGTTTGGTTGCAAGAGGTTTGGCCACATTTGCTTCAAATTCGGCTGGATGCGTAGGTGCTGCTTCTAGGCTGTTTGCAGGTGGAGTCCATGTCTCGATGCAGTCACCCCTTTGATTCCTGTCCCCACCGTTTTGTGTTCATCGTCTCGTTTTTTTGGCATCGCCCACCTGCCACCGGAATGGCCGAGGCGAAGCTGACCGACGCTTGGAACAGCGGTTTTGATGGGTCTGACGTCTGACCCGTTGGGGTGGGGAAGGAGCTCAGTAAAAACCAAATCTAGAGATTCCGAAGGTATTTTTACATGTATCATGTGGCCATTTATACAGTTAACTACAACGATTCCAGAGTAACCACTAAGAGCAGTGTCCATAGGGACAATAGGGGTCATCTCAAGACCTCGGGAATGTTCAAGTCTTCGTTGGTGGGCATTCTAGATCCCCAAAAACTCCACGGGACTGCCTTTTTGTGCCTATCAATTGACCCCCCAGTCAACCACCCCAGCTGATCGGCATATATGGCAGTCCCAGACAGGTCGTGTCTGGGAGTATATGCCTTGGACTTTTTCAATGTTGTTTCCATTCACTGTGACGTACTCACTGTGATGTACTCAGTGCAGCCAGTGGTCAGTGGTCACTGGCTGTATATTTCTGTGGTTGGAAATCTTGGAAGTCGGGATTTAGCTCCAATCTGTATATAAATATATAGACCCCTCAATCCCCACTAAAAACGTATTGGACACCGTTTCTATCTTTGGGGACCAGTATAAATTTCTTGGAGTGAATGCCGGATGATGGGCAGGAATCCTCACCAGAGGTGAATGAAGCAGCTATCCACTCTGGAAACGATGCTTTCTCCCATAGCAGTTTTCATACAAGCTCAGCTCGACTCGTCCCCCCCGCCGAGCGACTGACACTGCGGTTGGCCTTTTTCCGACGCGGCAACCGGTCGGATGGCTGAAACGAGGGGAACATGTCATAGTGTACAGGGACAACTGTAAGCATATGTACTGATTTACCGACTGTTACTGGCAATGGGACACACCCCAGTCATAGATTTATTTAGCTTCCATGGGTGTGTCTGGGGTGTCCATGGCTACTCAACCCCCCCGCACTGTTCTGTGGAGGCCACGTTTGCGGCTCTCCAACCCTGGTTTGTGCGTCTGGTGACGTTTTTGTTGAAGAGTTTGTGACTGGTTGCCTTCATCAAACTAGGTCTTGCTCAGCCTTCACCAAACTGGTTGCTCAGCCTTGATCAAACTGGTTACTTCATAGTTTGAAAGCTGGTTGATCATCCGCCCAGCGTCACCGCCTCACATCCGATGGAGTCTCACCGGCCCGATCCTCGAAGCGTTGGCGCGACACGGGTGCGACACGGGCGGCGTAGAGACAAAGAAGACATGGTCCGATCATCTGAGGTCCTGACTGGTGTCAAACAGTTCCAAGAACATCCATTCCAAATCTAGGGGTGTCCCTGACTGGTTCTTTGGCAGTCGGGTAGAGATGCAGGTCGGTTCGAGATTCGGCCGTTTGAGATCCAAAGTTGGTTTTTGGCTTTGGACTCGAGCAAGCTGAGGATGATGCTTCTGGGAAGTCCTTCTGGCACTTCAATACGCATCTGAACTGGTTCAAAGAGTGAATTTGTGAAATCGTGTTGATCGTTTCTTGGAACAGTTGGGTTGGAAGACTTACGTAGAGAGGCAGTACAGTACAGTTCCATGACCCGAGTTGGATATTGGCAGGGAAAGTCCTCTTCAAACCTTCTTGTGGTAGATGAATCGACGGGAACAATGCCAAGCCCTCCAAAGCCATTGCTTAGCTCAATGAGAACCCCTAAACAGTCCGGAGGCGTTCTTCAAAGCACCTGCCGCTTTAAGTCAAACAATTGTAGCATTGTAGGGGCCAGGTAGACCAAGGTGCACATTAATCTTGGCAACTTCCATGCATTGGTTGCGGATCCCAGTGGAACTCACGTGGCAGGTCACCCACCATCCATCATGCGGGAGACCCCGCCCTGAGGCATTGGTGCGTGCACAGCGGGCGTGGAAGAACCTGCAACGAGGAGGTTAGATATCGCGGTGCCATCAATATGGTTGACGCGCTGCTGGGCTGATTTCATGTGGCAAGTTTGCTAATCAAACTTGTAAGCAGCTTGTAGGCTTGACCAAGTCTTTTGCCCCTAGTGCAACCAAGAAAAGCTCGACCGTGTCATTGATATATTTCAGCCATCAACTCCCCCAGAGTCTGATCGGCCCCGATGATCTTCTGTACTGTTTCATTGGATCCTTGCAACATGGTCAGGCTGAGGATCATGCAAAGAAGAAGGCACTTTGTAACATTCTGAGAATCATAAAGAGTTAGAGTTTACATCTTCCACCAGATGTTCCACGGCTGCGCGTGACTCATTGGATGGATCTAGAATAGAAAACAGCATCGTTCCTTTTGCAACTCCTGCCTTTGTTTCTTGCATGATGTGTCCCTAAGTGTCACCCCAAGTGTTTATATATTTCTTGGGGTGATTTGTTCCGTTTCCTTTGTTTCGTTGCCGGGGTCGGAAACACAACCATCAGGATCCGCAGCATCGCGGGCGACGCGCCCGTGGTGGTCACGGGGGACTTCAACGCGCGGATCGACGAGACGCTTCGCAGAGTCGACGGTCGCGGTCGACGCGTTCGTTGGAGACCGAGCTGGGAATCACTGGGAATCTTCAACTGATGACTTGGCCCTTCGGTTTCAGGCTCACGTTTTGATAGGGTCACTTGATGTCCGCGGTTTCAGGGACATTGAAAGCGATTGATCATGATTTATCCATGATTTTCTCCTGAGCCAGCCCACCTTTTGTTTCCGTGGATGGAGACTCTATATATATGTTACTCCAAGTGCGTTCCGACACCTTGTTTCGTCCCAGAGCCTGCCCCCAACCGGTCGACTTCGGCCATGTTTATGTCAGCCAATAATGGCTGATGTCATGATGTCATGAAGTGCTGCCTTTGAGGAAGGGACCAAAGCACTTCTTACAATCTGGATTCCAACTGGCAGCCACTGATCTGAAGGGTGGCCAGGGTCGGGGATGGGCCGGATGGGGTGTGGTTTGGTGTCGTGACCTCCATGGTGTCATGGTGACCGACCTCACCAGGGATCACTCAAACGGACCACGCCGCGTGGTGCGAGAAATCGGAAAAGAACACCCATCTTGTGCACGGCAGTCGTGTCAAACAACAGATCTTTCCCATCAACACCAGTATACCAACACCAGATCACTCCGTGTTCTGGTGCGCGACGGGATAAACGATTGGAAAAAACCCATGGAACCGGTGCAGTCGACCTTCAAGAGATGTCCTGACTCCGACAACGAGGGAACCAATCGTTTCCTGGGTTGTTGGGTTTGGTGTTTTGGTGAGCTGGTAGCTCCAAGAATGCAAACTGTGTCTCAACAAGTGCGGAAAAAACGTGAGCATGTGAAGAATCAGGTTCAGAGCGAACTTTTGACGCGGATCGAATATCTCAGATGAACAAAAAAGACCTTCCCTATAGAGCCCTAGAGATCCAAGTACCTTCTCTGGAGGTACTTGGACCCTCCAAAGCTACATAACAGTGTCTCCAATCACCTTCTCAGAAGGTACTTGGATCCCTATAGGGCTTATATCTCCCGGATTCATCCTGAAAGCTCACGGGACGGGTTGGCCCCTTCTGTGGTTCTTCTTCAGACGACGCAAGGTCAAACCCATTCTTTCGGAGACAGAACGCTGGATGTGTCAGGTCAACGATTGGGTAGATTGCATCTTCTACTCTCACCACTGGAGCCTTTTGTCTTCTGGCACTGGTTCCAAATCTGGGAGCGATCACAACCCGGTCTATGCGGAGCTGCTGTTGAAGTGATGGCTTCCGAACCAGGCCTGACGCGTGTTACATGACGCGCATATAGAACATAGACGTGCCGGGCAGGTGGTGCAGGAAGTTCCTTTAGTGGTAGATAGTCGAAGTGACTGGTTCTCGAAGGAATCCGCTGCTGAATTAATTACCTGCAGAGTTTCTAGAGTTGGTGAATCCAACGACCTACTCCAGTTAAGACACATTCACAATCGTTCAATCCCAAAGGCTCAGAAAGGACATGAAAGGACCCTCAGTTCGCTAGGGTTTTGACCCTCACAGCCTCACAGCTAGGGTTTTGGAACCTCAAAAATGTAGCAGTTGGTTCGGGTCCAGAGCCTCTGGCAAATCAAAAAAGACCATTCCCCTTCGCATGCGCATGCCCCGTTCGCTTCACGACCATCGAGCGATTTCGGGAGCGAAAACGGCTCCCTCGGGGTCATGACACCGAGGGGCTTTGGTAAGAACATGTTGAGAACCTACCTGGGAGGTGGACCCGGGTCCCAGCTGGGAAGAATCACAGCCATTTAGCTACTGGCGCACTAGGAAGAACCACTGAGGGAACTTCGTTGGCACAGAACCCGCCGCCGGCAACGGCCCTGACAGCGTGCACGGGAACATCTGTGGCGCTGCAGGGCCAAAGAAGTTGAAGGAGCTTGCGAGGAGGAGATTCATGGAGATTCTATACAAGCCAAGACACACCACCACTAGTTGCAGACCAGTCATTGCTTGAACTTGAGCCCCTGGTGGGCGGGAAGGGTTTCCTGAACATGAGCAAGGTGGAAAAGGATGCTAACCAGTTGACACGCATTCTTCAGGTAAATGGGGCACGGCCGCCCTACCCAGCCTGACCCTGCGGAAGGTTACCTGCGAGGTACTTGCTTGCGGAATGCGGCAATGATTTTTGCATTTACCAAAAACGCTTCGTGGTGGCGTAAAATATGGCCCAGGGAGTGGCAATTTGGTTTGGTATAATTAGGGCCTACATGCACCAAAAGAAGCAACCAAATGCCACGAATTTACATACTACTACATGGAGCGTTTGGGTATAGCATGGTATAGCACTTCATTGCTTCCCCTACTGAACCGAACCCCCCCACAAAAAAGAAGAACGACCAGTGCAGCGTGTCTTCTTTGATTGTTTGGCCATGGGGGAGGTTGACATCCAGAGCATGAGAGGAATCCCTTCAGCCAGAGCATGGGTGTCCACCAGTCGGGTCCCCCGGTTTGGACTGCCATCATGGATCCATGAACACCGTGAGTAACACCGTGGTATTCAAGCGGGTTGTGACTTGGTATTGAAGGACCCCTGGACCTGTGCGCACAAGCAAAACGAAGCTTTGGAACCCAGGTCGTTCAGTTCCAGGTGTCAACTGTGATCAAAGCCGCAGGAGTGCGGTGGATCTGGATTCTTCATGATCTTAGGGTGCTCAATCATGTGCCGCATAGTCCATCTCCCAGCCCTGCTTTGCTTCTCCTCATCTTTCCATCTCTTTCAGCTACAGAGCCCCACCTCACTGGGTGTCGGTTTCAGCCGCCGGCTGCCGGTCTCTGGACTGGAGGATGACCGGTCGATGCTAATGGCCGGACGTAGGGCGAGTCGACCTCCGATGTGCAAAGTGCAAGGTACTTGGGGGGTTGTGCACTGCCCACCACTTGGAGATTGGCTCTTGTTTTGCAGGGTCGATCAGCACATCTCCTGATCAGCGCAGCAAAGTGAGGAGTTGTAGCACAGACTGAGCCTTAGTATTTGTCCAAATGTTGCGCTGGATATGCCACACATACGAGCTTCGCCGGTGCCACTGGTCCGATTCCGTCGGCTCTCCCTCGGCTCTCCGATGCGAGGAAGGGGACGGCATAGCCTGCCTGAAGGGGATGGTGCGAGCGCTCGATGGTTCCAAAGAGCTCTGGATTACAGACCACCAAACACACATTACGCAATAATTGAATTGAATAACTTAAGAATTCTGACTTGACACAATTGTACAATGGTCTCGTTGATCGTGTGTTATCAACCGCAGAGGCATTGCTTCAGCACCCCCGACTGTCCGCGTGAAAGAGCCACAAGAGCCCCTGCATGAACACCGGCGCCACAGTTGCGCGATCAAGAGTAGATCGGCTTGGGCTTGGACAGTTGATCATAGCTATCCTGAATTGAACACACGCGTTGCGCAGCCTTCAATTTTCATGATTAATGGACATCTCTCAGTAGTGTAGGGGCTTCCAGCCAGGTGACCCCTTTGAAGGTGCTGGTTCTCTATAATTCAAATTAAATGCACGTCTTCAAGTAGCCTGTTCGGGGACCTGATTGGTCGGGCCCTTGTGACGTCGGGGATGGGTCCAGTCGTACGGTACCTCAGGTATGGCGATGTGTTCGACACTGAGACATGTTTGGAGGGTCCAGTACCTACCTTCTGAGGTACGGTACGACCGGATCCATTTGTATATGCATGTATACCAGGGCCGCCTAAGGGGTGGTTAATGGACGTCCCTGAACCTCTGAGGAGCTATAATTGGACACCCCTTAGGGGGCTCTGGTATGTGTTTTTGGTTAATTTGTTAAACCAAGATCCCATATCTGCGGTCGGCTCAGGCGGTCGGCTCCGCGGTCGGCGGCTCGCTCGGCGCGAACGGCGGGCGGAACCGAGCGTCCTGGGGCTAAAACGGCCCCGTTGGGTTCCGCCCTCGCGAAGAAAAAACAGAAGAGCGGGGAATAAGTGGTGAAGTGGGGGGTAATGAAATCCGGTGTGTTCAAGCCTGGTTTGGTTCATCGTTGATAGAGTTTTGTGGCTTTGTGATTCCATGATGTGACATGTCAATGTGGGTTTGAGCAAGCTTGAATTTATGTTTCCGGAAGAATGACCACAAAAAACAACAAAAAGCTGCCACGAACAGCCCGGAGAAAAAGCAGCTTGCGCCCACTTGCAGGACCTGGACTTTAGTCAGATTTTTGGCGAACGTTGCTGCAGATGTTTAGCTTTTTGTTCGTCCGAAAGGACCTCCGAAAGGACTCTCCCCGGTCACCGTCCGGTGGTTGCCGGTCCATCACGGAGTCGAGACGGAGACCGCTCCCGCTCCAGTTCGGCGCATCCAATTGGCCCGTCTCCATCCTACCTACCCCCCGGTGTGCAGCTCTCCGCGTCCCCAACCCGAGCCACCGGCGACCCACCGCCAGGGGGCTGCAAGACGACGGGACCATCAACCTGCGACCGGACAAAAAATGGACCTGAAGCTGCTCCGCGACACGGTGAAAGCTGGGAGGAGATGGGTGTTTGTCATTTGTGCTTCGACTCCTGAATGACTCTCCTCACCTCGGAAAATGCCCTGAAAAGAGAGGCCTGATTTCAAACGTCGTCAAGCATAGTGACGTAGTGCGTCACATGAAGCTCCTGCATGGGTTGACCTTGATCAAGAATCATTGCTCTGTTTGCAAATTTGAAAGTATCTTAAACTAACTGATCACAGTGTTTGCTTGCAGGCAAGCCATGGATATCCATTGAATATTTAGCTATTGACCTCCAATAGCTATGAAATTTGCAATGTTATTTGCAGCCCCAATCATTTACTGGGTCGCTGTGGATTCCTTCAGGGAATTCCTTTTCGGGTCACCTAAAGACCATTCTTTTTATGGTCTTTGACTCGCAGGGTTAATGTTGTCCTATTTTGTTGTCCTTCACTCGTCCGACTCCGTCGTGATTTCCCATGCGACCCGCCGACCTGGATTCTTCCAGAGTCCGTCAACCGGACGACCGGCGGCTCCTTGGCGGCTCAAGACCTGGAGGAAACCGGTTCAGCACACAATTCCGTTGCAGAACCCGTGTCCGGACCTAGGCGGGGCCGACCCGCGCCTGCGGCTTCAGACGTGTCCAGACTCGCCGGTCGGAACATGAAACGGTGGCGCCGTACGGTTCCTTCGCACGCGGGTCGCGAGGGCCCTGGACATCCGAGGTCCCCTCAGTAGGCTGAGAAGGCGACCGGTTTGGAGCGGCAAGATCGAAGGGTCAATCTCCAAATCTTTATCCCATGACACTCCATGTATACCTTGAGTCTCCAATGACCCTTTTAAATTTGCCTTTCCAAGAAAAGAGGTTTTTGAAGAAAGCACTCTTTTTTGCATATGTCACGAAATGTTCCTTTTTTGTTTGTGCCCTGTCAGATCCTCCTTAGACAGTGTCCTGAGACCTTTTTTCGGCGTCCAAAACGCGTCTTTTTGCGTCCAAAAGGCGTCTTTAAGCGTCCGTGCCGGACGCGTCCGGATGAAGATTCACTCTGCACCTTTTTTTTGAGTCCTCATCTCTAAAAATGCGTTTTTCGAGCACAAACGCAAAAATATTAGACCAACAACAAAAACGCAGAAAAAAAAGGTCTTTGGAGACTCAAGGTACGAATTTACCTACATTGGGATGGTTTAAGGGGTCAATGTATGCCATATAAATCCATGGTGGGGGTGCATTGTGGGATCGGAGCCGCGAATTGTTATTTTGGGAGTTGTTTAGGGGATTTATTTTCATCTAGTGTTGACCAGAATTCATCAACCATGGCTGGCAATGGGAACAACCCGAGACAAGCAGTTGAAAACGACCTCGCCCCCAAGGTGGAGAAAGCTTGACATGACCTGTACAACAGCTGCAGCTGGGGTAAGAAATTGACGAATCTGGAAAATGTAGAAAAATACAGTTTTCATAGCATAATGGATGGCACAACCCATCACAACCCCCAAGATGTTCTTTAGATGGGGGTCCATATAAACCACCAGACTTGAGGATTGCGCCGTCTATGCTGAAACGACTGTACATGGGGTGGCCTAGAGTCTTGGGTTTCTGGTTTCACGCCTGTTTGGGGCCCTTTTGTTGCAGTAAGGTCTTGGGAGGCACCTTAACCAACGTTTCTTTTCGGTGGAGGCTTGCTTCGGTTCCCGTTTCTTAGACATGTGACGTGTGCAACTAATAAATCATAAGCGGTTTTCAGCTAGATGCTCATAACTAATTCGAATCATAAGCGGTTTTCAG